TCAGCATAAAATAATTGTAGGAAATCACTTTTCGTTTTTATCAGAAATTGGAACAAGAAAACAATGCAATGTTTCTGGCATTAAACCTTCACTTCATGTGGAGGCGTTTCTGGTGATACCTGCATAAGACTACTCACGCGAGATTCACTTCGTTTAAAGCACTTTTGAAGATAGTCTATCTTTAAAATGATCTTTGAACTTCCTATTCTCAATTCTTTTCAGTACCTTTGTAGAAAAACAAACAAATTGAAGACGTAGTGATTTTTTAAAGCCTATTATTTGGTTGCCGATATTTTTACTTTTCCATATCAGTAGTATGTACCAAAGACAAATCACTTTTTAACTATCAGTAGACCGGAATCATTGAGCTAAATATCTGCACTCTGACCATTCAAAAGAGATGTTAAATAGATGCATGTCGGCAGTTACTTTAGCACGTACTTTAAACAACAGAGAAGGCTTCAAAACCGCATAGCTGGAGAGTATTATATGAGCTTCACATTGAATCCTCATAAAAGTGTTCCACGAAAATTGAAAAAAAAAGTGGTTTGAGCTCAAGCAGTAGCGAGGACGAAGATTTGGTTCGATTTTACTATAGCGTTTCGAGTCCTCCTCTGAAGTAAAAAGGATAAATAATTCAAAAGCAGAAGGACTGAGGTGTTAATGGCATGGCTCGGAGACTGAGCCAAGTATAAAGGCGGTGCTTTAATTGCCCGCAAAACCATATTGAATAGTTAAACACATGATCAAAGTATTGCATAGCCCGTCCCTTGATCAGCTTCCCGCGTCAGCCATCACAACGTAGTCGGTGCTGCAAAAAAAGGCCTACTAGTCAACCTCGCCAGTCATCGAATTTGCTTGCTAGTGCGACGATATTTGATCCTGCCATCACCGATGTCTTAGCAATCCCGCTAAATCCAAATTTCCGCCCCGTTTGGCAACCGTATCAGAGGAAGGGAATGTACAGTCCATCCCATATGACCATCCTGAAATACCGACTCATTTAACAAGAGCTGGAGTTCAAAATATCTTCGTGAGGATTAGGTTTCTTCTCTGTTCCTCCTTGCCACTTTGTTCTCTATTCAGTGCTACCTAACCATACACCTATCGGGGTTCTCTTCATCCGGTGGAGAGGTGGAGGAGGTACCGCTTGCTCATTTAATTGACAGCTTCGTTCGGGTACCGTAAACAGCTCCGTAACGAACCTTTCTACATAGTTAACGACCAGTGTCGCTTCAGTTGTTAACAGCATTCCCTCAGGACACAGTACTGGGTGGTTGCCGAAGTTTGACGGCATTTTTAACCTTCTGTTAGGAGGGTACACAGATTCTCCTAGTAGATACCCTTATGTAATGCTAAGATTTAGCTTCCAGTGATAGAAATCAGGGTAGTTTTTCTTTAGGATCGGGTTTGCTTGCTGCTGCCGCAAATGTAACCCTTCCAAACTTTCCTGACGTTGAAAGATGGCATAACACTAGGGTGAAAGATGTATCGTCTATGTACAGAAGGTCTGGATGATATGAGCGTGGCCCCGAGCGGAAGTATAAAGTCGGAGCTTTGAGTGCCCGCAAAACTGAAATGAAGAGTTGAACAAATAATCAAAGAATTGCAGCATCAATTTTGATTGCATTTTTCATTCGTGGGTATTATGTTCGGCAACCTTGAGTGTCAGACATGGTTCTTTAGAATCAAAACTGACATTTCTAAGTTATGAAATCTACTAAATTGAATCTTTTTTTCACACACAGTTCAATAAATGGAATTGTGCTGTGGGTGGACGAATATCAAGTTGGTGTCAGTAAAAATCAAAGCAGCTTAAATGTCAGTGGCCAGCGTAAATAAGTGTACAAGCCTTCTTTGAAGTAATCCACATCCCTCTCAAACGCATTAATGTTCACTACCTGTAAGCAAACATCCAATTTCACTGGTATGTTCATGCAGATGTTTACAAAGTGGATATTGAATTTACTGTCTGGTACTGTTGAGTGATGTGGAGAGAGGACACTGAATTTCACGTAGACCAGTTATTTCGGTTCTGAGAAGGTGGCTTTGTGGTAGACTGGTTTCCTTATGCCGACTTAAAACAGGTTCGCAGGGTCGACCATTGTTTGGTCGTTCATATTATTAATCGAAAAACGAGAAGTAGGACTACATTTCGTTTTAAATACCTTAAACAAAATCCTGGTTAAGGAAAACGCATTTAACTTCCGTATTTATTTCTCCCTTTGCATGCTACAGAGAGTTGCCAACGAAATGAATGAAGCTTATGGCCTTCTGGGGAGTATTTTCCGTCATGGTGAGTCTCCACCTTTCCTTTTTTTAGATTGCAGGCACTTTCCCCCATCACTTGTCAGGAAATTCGACGAGGATAAAAATAAGTAAACCAATGAGTGCAATTTTTAGACGAAAAATATTTTATTCTACAAGTTTTCTTTCACATTTTGTAAAAGGATTCTTGTGAACTCAAGTAGCATTCCCCTTACCACACTGCAGAGTGTGACCTTCTCAAATGTAAGCAGCAATTCACTCATTAACTGCCTATAATCGTGAAAGCTTTTTTCTTTCTTTTGCTCCCTAATTTCTCCTTATTTACGTAGCGTATGGATAGTGAATAAGTAAACAAAAAGTGGAAATATTGTCTAAAATATGGAATCAGTCGCAGTCTTCTTACCTCGCAGTTAGTAATTTTTGGAGCAAAATTCATGACAAAATGAAGTATTGAAGCGAGATTTCGCATACTGGTTCTCTTATTTATTTATCACGGTAAGCCACTCCAGTAAAATAAAAGTTTTATTGCCCACCTCACTAACGTCACAAATGCGTGCCGCTCTGAGTTGCTTGAGTGTCTCACGCCACAACAATTTGGCATCTGGTAGTAATGATTGAGTGTGAGGCACCAAAATGAATGCAGAATATTCTTGGTCCCAGGTTAGCTGCACCTAGACAGCATTACATCCATACTGTAGTGGTTGATTTTCCTCTGACACTGCAGTAGCGATTTTGTCAGTAGAACAAAGGAAAGAAAGGAAATAAATCCTAGTATTTCTTGATCACAGTGAAGGAGAAATTTTTATGCAAGTTTTAAGACAATTATCTGACTGATGGGTCTCACAGTGAAGGAGAATATTTTACAAGTAACGATTGTGTTCATTGAAGTCGAATACCACATCCGCAGACAATGGGCAGGTCAGTTACCTGGACAAATCAATTTCACTCGGCACACCGCCCAGTTAATCGTCAAACCAATAGAAATGTGCTGATTGCTCCATGAAGTTTCTTACTTTCAGGCTCCCGACTGACCACCTTCTCATCGCAGGCAATGCAGTTCGCAGACCTCTACTCCTACAGCTGCTACAACCTTATCTACTATCCCCTCTGCTACATGTTCCGCGCACCGCCCATGCTGATGCCGCACGAGTCCACCGTGCCGCATGAGGAGACGGCTTTCGAGTCCTTCAAAGACCTCGAAGACTCGCCTTGTGGTCTGAGGAGGAGAACAACTACTGGTGCGTTTCAGTCTACGCCCCTTTTTTCAGGCCTTTATTTGCCTGTGCTTGATACCAGTGCACTCCCTCGTGGAGTGGCTAACTTAATGGTATAGTAGGTTTACCATCCCAATGATCCCAAAGGCATGTTAGACTGCAAGTTTCAGCTGTTTGACCATCATATCCTCGTTCCTGAGTGCATTCTGACCAAAGCACATTCATGGTGCTTGTGTGTGCATAATTTAATTGCCCTTCCGTAGGGTCCATTAAAGATTATTGCTATTTTCATTGGTGGAAAATTTTAGTACTGAGCGCATTCAACGCATAGGTGCTTGAAATAGCATTAAGTTGGAGTTGAAAGGGGAAAAAAGCACATACTTTTAACTGTGGATTAGAAGAAGGGCTTTAAGGTCTGTGATACATGGTAGTCTCTTGTAATTATTCCATCTTTCAACTTATTTGAACATACCTCTACCCGATGAGGCTGAATAAACAGGAAGTAGCCCTAATCTCAACGTTCTGATTGGCTGGGCGATTGACAACCCACTGTTCTATATGAAGTCCAATTCTCTTGCTTGAAATTTGAACGTCAAGGAACTGAAAAGGCTCATTTATAGTTTGATATGGTCATCAAGTAGTATTGTTACAAAGACTCTTCATTCTGATCGGTGATCTTGGCAATTTCAGTCCTCAGAAATCTTTCGGCAATTTGAAGTGTACCACAAGATCAAAGGGAGAGAGGTTTTTACTATATTTACCCCTCGATGAATGGTTAGTGGTCCTGCAGTCGTGCATATAATATTCCGTATTCATCTGTTAAATGTGTAGCCAAATGAGTAGAGGCAATAAACTGTTGGTGGTGCTGATGCTAATGCTAGCAGAAATGCCTTAGAGATCACATCGCACTGAAACAGGTAAATCTCATGACATCTAGCAAGGGGAGCCCCCAACAGGGTAAAAGCGGATAGAGCCAAAAATTTTCGCATACGTATCAACAAAAGAAGGGTTTCAAGCTTCATATATCAGAACTTAATCTTGCTCAGAACGCCGAGGTGAATAAGTGCCCTGCTCTCTCCTTATGACTTTCCTAATTATTCACGGATGCATATTTCTTAGCAATGAGCATTTGTCCGCTGTATCTGTCGAAGGTGTCAGACGCACAAAGTTTGGTTTTTGGCTCCGTAATTCCTTAATTTGGTGTAATCTCTCAACACACAAATTTATCGCATTTCTTTTAAAGACGAACACGACCATGCACAAGAGTGGAGTTGGACGTCGTCTCTGGAGCTCCCCTTGGTCAGGCTCTTGCATCAGCCGTCAAAACGTAGTCTCCACCTTAACAAAATAGCACTTACGAATCAGCCGCCTCTGTCATTGGTGTTTGATCTCCATGTCACTGATGCATCTTCGCAACTCCACTAGATTTGGAGTTTCGTCCTGTTTGGGAAATGTACTGGGGAAGAGAGAGAAAGTGCAGTTCTCTTACTGCTGGAAACTTGATGATGCTCTACCACGGGGCCGTCTTGCATCTTCATCACTGGTCGTAACAATACTGGCCTAAAAGAAGAGTGATTTAATGAAAGGCTGGGTTTTAGTTAATTTCGTTGGGACAATATTTTACTTCTATTCCTCCTTGGAACCCTAGACACCTCTGCAACGAAGCATTCCAAATGGTTTACGCCAACTGTTGCTTCATTTGTCAATTGCAAACCGGCAGAACACGGAGCTGGAGTAGCAGCCGAAAGCAAACGTCAACTTTAACCCTTTTGTTAGGGGTATTCACAGGTCCCCTTCTTTAACATCAGATGCCCAATAATAGAAATCAGGGTAGCCGTCCTTTGAGATCGGATTCGCTTGCAACGGCTACCGACGTAACGTCCCAAGTCTCCCCTGCAGTGGTAGAAAGCGATAGTAGCATGCAAGAATAAGTATTACTGACGTACAAGCTAATTGAGAGGCTACTGCCTTGTCCCCGAGGTCATGCCGCGGAGCGGAAGGCCAGTGCACGGAGACTTGAGCACCTGTGTAATCAAATGAGGAGTTGAACGAACTATCAGCACATTACAGAGGTTTTTAAATGTCACGGTGACTAATCTTATAAACCTTTTCTGATAGAAGTGAATTACTAATTCATTATGGAGCAAATTTACTCCTTCGTTGAATGCATTGTTGAAATTACCCTTGTTTCTTGTTACTGTGTCGGCAAATTGTAGTCATTTCAGGCATTTGTCCGCATTTTTGGTTATTCATGTAGTCAAGTTTTACCGACATTTGTTTGTCCCACCATTGGTTTGCCGTTAGGCCATAGTGATGCTGCGTACAGCTGGCAACTTCAACATCAATGAAGTGGGCCGGTCAGTGGTGTGACCAGCGGGTGCTCACTAAGTGGGCTAGTCGCAGTGGCGGCCTGAGTGGGTCCAAGTAGGGGTAAGAGGGAGGGTATGCAAATGTGTCACTCAAGGGAGTTGTAAAATTAATGGCGCGATTTTATGTGTTGAAGCTTTCAACAACTTTGAATCATTGGAAATGAATTAGTGGTGTAAAAAGTTGGCTAGTTGGGATACGATTCGCCTGAAAACTCATCTTTTCTTGCTACCATCTTGCATACTACAAGGTATGGCTACGTGGAAGTGTTCAGTTGATTATTTGGTGGTCCGATGCATCGCCATGCTTTTCCATTATGGCATATTCATTAGCTATTCTCAACAATGTATTGTGGACATGTGTTTTACCGGAACCACTCCGCCGACCAGGTAATAAAAGGGCTCAGGAACAAATTGCAGTCGATATCGGTGGATGGGAGCAGGTCGTAAAACGCCCAGTCACAGTGGGAATGCGACCGTTCAATTGGTAGCAGCTAGACCGTCCAGTATTCAATTGTAGGGGAAAAAAAACCAGTCTTGGCGAGTAATTTGCAGCTTTGTTGTTTGGATCTCAACCATGAGACTGCTCGGTCCGAACTGGGATTTAATTGCACAGTCATTGAAAGAGCATTCTGTCATGGTGCTGCTGTACGCGTTGGTAGGCAGCAATTCTGTCTCTGCTCTCATTCAGCTTTAGTCCCAATCCACTTTAGTCATCGTTGATCCAGATGGCAGACTACAGTAATATTGGGGGCCTCGGTGTGTGCAGCTGTGCTGCTTATGCCTAGTCGTGTAGAGGACTTCAAGCACAGCACAGCTCTTAGTCAGTCAGGCGTTTGAATGGTACGAATGCATTCATCACAGAGGCAGTCTGTCTTACGTCAGTCAGCTGCGATCTCGATCGCCAGTACACATCACGGCAGTGAGTTAATCCTGTGGGCGTTTGGCCAACACGTGTGACACCTCATCCTAAACGCCTTCATGCATAACGCACTGCAATTTCCGTGTAGAATGTGAATATGGCACAATTATTTCCTACGATTTGCAATTTTGGAATATACTACTCTGGGTACCAATGTGGGCAGGCTGCCCCGCCAAAGCATGCTCTCCCTGCACCGAATTGGGTCCACTGATGCGGGGGAAGCATTATTTTGATAGGTAAATGCTTTGCGTTGACTCTGAGTTAAAGGCTTGCTTTGAACGCTCCTCGAATCCGATCCGTCCTCTCACTGATTTGGTCATAGTGGTAGTCATTCGGACAGTCAGTTGAGCTAATCACAGAACAAGTGACTCTCCGCACACCTTTTCTTACTTACCTGCTTGACCTTTGTATTTTCACCATCTCATCCGCCTACACGCCTGCACCAACAGAGGCGGAGATGGTGCGACACATCAAGGCGATGCTTCTCAAGCGATTGCCGGACTCAATGATGGCCACGCACTCTTCCGTCGACGAGACCGAAAAGGACTACGAAGGACCGAAGTGCATTGAAATTGCCGCCACCGCCGCCACGCCGGTCCTGACTACCACTGTCCCTGTTGTCTTGAAAAATCTTTCATCTCGCATGGAAACAATGGACATTGGCACCATTACCTCCTCCTCCGCCTCCTCTTCGCATTCCTTCTGAGTGTGGGTAGCATGGTTTGCGCTTCATTTCCACTTATAGCTGTTGCATGCATTTAAATTAACTCTGGACAATAACCCAGGGTCATTCTAGCCTCAAAAAATCTACTTTAAAGAAGATTTTTAAGTAATGAAATAAATTAGCAATGGTATTTTATGGTGATAGGGTAACAATGAAGATACAGAATTCGCAGTATTTATGATCACGGTAACCGGTTATCTTTGAAGTGAGATCATTGTAAATGGAAATAGACGTCTGTCCAATAGTTAAAAGATTAACACTGTGGTGATTCATACCCCCGATGGTGATGGAAAGGAACTAATGGGCATTCACGATGCTATTTGATCCCCATGGTAAAGAAAATTTTGGATTTAACTTACATCTGTGAAGAATGAACAGGATCCTGTTGATTGAAAGCTCTATGGAATTTCATGCATTCTTCTTGCTGGAAAAAGGTCGTCTAATTTGTTCTCCTTCTCCCCTTCACCTCTCGCATGCTTTTGTGGTGGGATAAAGTTGGGTTGTGGTTTTATTCTAGCAGTGACTTTTTAGAACGCTTCCCGGGGACTTGAGGTAAGGATTTTTGCGCTAGCTGGCTGACCCTCCCAATCTGGCCGATTCCTCCGGAGGCATGAAACAAAATCACCCATGCAACGAGCCATTTTCAATTAATCTGGACAATCAAATTCAGGATGTTTCGCTACCGGTTGGTACCGCAGAAGAATGTGTTGGGAGCTGAAGTGATAACGTCTATTTTCGAGCTCCATTACAACCGTGGCATCGACTATTCTGTTCATTCTTGCCACCTTTCTCGTAATGACTTATTAGAGGACAGTTTTTTCGTTTCTCATTCGCATATTAGCTCCATCTTTGACGGGACTCACACTGGTTTAAAATGTAGGCATCCATTCTCATGAACTTGTCAACAGATCAACTTGAATCCTCGTAAGGAGGGCTAAAATGCACACCACAGTAATGGCTGTCTGTTGCAGCGTGTTCTCAGTACTTTAGATCATACCGAGTCCAAAACTCCCGGGTGGGGCTTAAGGTGAGGCACGGAATAGAGGGTCAAAATGGCACCAAAATGCGCTTAACCGTCTTTCATTTCGGCTAGTTTATTCATTCCTATTACTTTCCGATAAGTGACTTGAATTTTTGATAATAAGATGAGATAATAAAGAAGATAATAATAAAAAATCTTCAAGTGCGATGCGAAGCAAAGTCCCAATGCAACTTTTTCCCTTGTTGCTTTTTCAGGTGAGTGCCCACGCATTTCCATGCCGCTAAGTTACCGACACCTTCAATCATCCCCAAAGCGCGCTATTCTGCAGGCGTCTAGACATTACCACGACTTGATAGAACCATTCCACCTCCTCCTCACTTCTGCGCTTTCCACCCTTCCGGCCTTTGTCACTAGCTCTCTCTGAATGCCAGCAACGAGCCCCCTTCTTTCGTCAGCAATCCAGACACCAATGCCAACGAGACATACTCGACGGACGATGAAGAAAGTAAAGAGAGTACTGAGGATGCCTATTTTGCACGAATAAGATAACTTTTGCCTCTCTTTCCCTTTTGGTTAGCCAACCAACTCTGTCCCCCCTCCTTTTGGTGACAATTTCCTTGTGTCTATTTATTTCACCTGATTTTGCTTTCTTGGTGATTTAACCATCCCAAAGTACATTAATGCGTGCTTCGTTTCCAAAGCACACATCTGCTCTGCTTTTCACGCTGGTTTTTGCCTCACCCTGTGAATATACCAAACAGTGGGCATAAGTGAATTCATCTAACTGGACGTTTGAATTAAGGTTTTAATGTAGTTTTGGGTTTTGAACGACTTGCTGAATACCGATTGCCATCTCTTATAGCCTGTGTGATCTAGTTAGTGTGGTGGGTGGCTGAAGGCCTTGTCTTGAGGGTTAAGCCTGGAACTACCCGTACCAAGAGTGCTGATAGCTGGCAAGCATGCCCACGGATCCAGCTCGTTTCAGACACCGGCAATCAGGATGCCAGTCAACCGTTGCGGTCAGCGGGTGCCTTGAACAATGCATGATGACAGGGGCAAGTCTCTTGCCAACAATAACGCGCGAAGCCCCTCAATACCTCTTCATCCACAACAGTTGACTCCAAGCTCACCAGTAAGACTATTGAAAGATGTCAACGTGCCTAATTCCTCTGTGACAGCTCCAGCCGTGGTGGTTCAGTTCCTGGTCAGCGTCACTGCCACCCATACCTGGGAGCACTGAGTCTGCGCACGAGACACCCGATATACGCCAAATTTCACTTGTCCCAATCGTCCAGAAGATGGAGCTTTGCATTGGAACAGTGACAACAAACGCCATCATTTACAAAACCCTCGTCGATGCCAAGACAGCTTTTCGCTTCTAACCAGTACAGAAGTAAACACAAGATGGCCGAATGCTTGGTTGATCCACAAGGGAGTTTTCCAGCCTTGACTTTGAGCAGGCGTTGTATAGTGTGGAAGTTCGACCCCCACCCTCGCCTTTAATAATAGCAGTTCCAGTTTAAGGCATTTGGCTCAATCCTTTGTAGTAGACGTCCGCACACCGATTCCGATTGAGCATTTCAAATAAAACCTAACCCTTACGTTGGAGCTCCAGACCTGGTATCTCTCATTCTTTACCATAAATGATTTACAAAACCGATTTTTATGTCAATTTATCTTGTCCTCTTGGATAAAAATGGAATCACTGAGGTAGCCGGCTGGTTTCTACCCCCTTCTTTTGCATCTCTTTTGGATACTGTTTCATTGTAAGTGACAGCTAAGAGGGATATTTGTACTTTTAAATGCGGTAGCTTTTAGCTCGCCACCGTTTATAACTACTCATTCAGGAGTTCGGTCGTTAGCCACGCACTCCTTGCCAAATGCTTCTTGTAAACCCTAAGTTGTTTGTGCTGTTTTATTGTCTTCACCCCAGAGAACATGAAGAAGTAAAGCATCAACGTTGGGCTCAAAGCCTTATGTATGTCAGCGTTACAACCATTTGCCAGAGTTTGTAGGCGCTGGTAAAAGCCGATGCCGCTAGGAGGATCTACAAGCCGCGATAGCTGAAGAGGCCGCCTAGTTAAACACGAAGTAAAACCAACATCCAGCAGCCACAGAGCTGCCAGATCAAGGAATTTAAGTAAGCCTTCTTTTAAAAAAGGATGACTTTTAGCTGTATTTAAAACTTAAACACAGCGGCGGTGGGATTAAAGCCATGAACCATCCGTGTAGCAGTTGCGACGACGTGGTAGGTCAAATAAGAAGAGCTACCACTAAAATATAGCATTATCAAATTACGAAGAATTCTTAAAACGACAACTTAATAAATTTTAGCCTCATGTTAATTTATTATCTCAAATGTGTGAATCAACTAAACTTGAAGGAGTGGTTCAACGTGTCCAGCGGATAAGATCACAGATGGTCTCCTGTGGGGTAGGCTGAAGTTGGCACTGCTATCATGACCCTCTTTGAGGGAGTCATACCGGTGATTCCCCACCTTCTCTATGCAAACTCATTCGAATTCTGGATCACACTGAAGGCCGTCAAGAGTAACGCAGAGACCGGAATTCTGTAAGGTCTCTGTGCCATCGGAGTGATCCAGTACCATCCACGGCAGACTATTCAGACACCCACTAAAATATTTGCCTGTCTAGAAGCAACAGTAAAACGGTCATGCAATGGAAATATGGTTGAGCAGTTGAGCTATGGCCTAAAGTAATTGTTGGTTGCAGGAAATCGAACAAGTAAATTTGCACTTACGTTTTTAAGCCTCGAACAAAGCCCTGTCCTCCGCTTACACAGAGCAGACAGATTGGATACACTTTTGAGGTGGATCAACCTTGTGACCGCGCGAACGTCGTCAATCTCCACGGCTGTGATCAGCTCTAATCTCACATGAAAACTTGGTTCCTTGTAAAATTCCACATCAGACCATACAAGATGTCGTTTTTCAGCCATTCAGAAGTGAAAATGACACAACGGTGTTGATTTGGTACTTTGTTTAACTGTGTGGTTAACAACGTGTGGCACTTCAGTTCCTCCATGGGTTGTACTTCCACTTTTTGGCATGGACTGTGGGCCAGTGGAACAGCCTCATGGCTCTCCTTCATGTCGGTTGTGCATATTCTGCCGCAGTATGTGGACTTTTTACGAATTCAAGGGAGACTCGGGTTGGCTGAAAGAAAAGCATTTTGTTTTGTAATTCTTGATTCCTTTAACAGCTTAACCAGTATGTTGCCTCTCTCAAGGAAACACGTGCATGCTACAAATCCTATCTGCTTCATATAAAATAACCGGTTTATCTCGGAAATCACCCGCAGAGGGTAGTCCAAGCCATATCTGCTTCTGTTTCACTCTGTTTTCCCAACTTCCTACCCCATTTACCAAGGAATGGTGACAAATACTTGAAGGGGTTGTGATTGAAGCTGAGGCCATTGTATGGAGTCTCAATGAGTAGATGGATCTTGGTCCCCATTGCTTGATTTTAGCAGGCGAAAAAGTGGATCTGCAGTTTACGGCATTCACACACACGCCTCTTTAAGTTACATTCTGAAGCAGTGGAAGGGAGTCTAACTCGGTTGGCTATCTCCACAGACCAATTCACATCCATCAACCTCATCCATGGGGTGAATTCGTAGGGTGAGATACCTCGTGAGTACTGTACTGATGGATAGTGCAGAGTGTGCATCCAGGAATTCATTTTTTCATGTAATACGTTAACTTTATATGTTGTAAAAAGGCTATAAATCTAAAAGGGTAATAACTCCCTTTGGAGTTGAGTAGACTAAATCCACCGAATGTACATGCGATTTTCCAAGTAGATGTCGCCCATGCTTCACCACTACTCCAGTTCATCCCCTTCAGAGAAGTGTGGGTGAGGCTATGTTAATTTGTTTAACTCTACAAGCGTTTAGGTGGGCACCTAAGTCTCCGCTGATTGTACTTCCGTTTAAGGTCACAGCCTCCGGGCCATATTAGTAGCCAACTGAGTCTTCTGTACATCCGTAATTTACTGCCCACCACACTACTGTGACTTCTCGCGACTCCGAAGAAGCGTGAGGAGTGCAGCAAGTGCTCTTCCCTACAAACATAAGTAAAATAACAGGGAAGTGCAGTAGCAAAGCTTTATATAGCTTCTTTATTCTCGACATAGGTCACAATCCCTTCTTTAAGAGACATATGGCATTGCATGATTGACTACCCGACGGGCAATCAAAGTGAGGTCACTGAACTATTGTCTCAAAGAGACTGCCATCGGAGGGCAATTTTTGATTACATATATTGCCAAGGGTGGAGAGCATTTCACTTTCGCCTTCCATTGGTGCCAAATTAACTGGTTGACGAATGCTCCACGTGCGCTTAATGCTTTCAAACGTCATTAGAGGCAGTTGACGGGACTAAAATGAGTGGAATGCTTTCCACCTGGCAGTTATTAATGGAGCCGCCTAGACGATGGGTAATCAATGTGTTTGGGTCATAATCCTAGCAACAACTTCTTCGGAGTGGAAACACTTACTTTGAATATAATGTCATACGATTTAAAGGTTTTTGTCCAAATAATTGTATTAATATATATTTAACATGGACGTTTCCAGTTAAAATTCAAGCAATGATATGCCTACTGGCCTCATTTTTGCTGCAGATGCCTACATCGATTTTGACATATTAAACTCCTCTACATCCGAGGTACTGAGGAGCAAAGAGAAGTCTCGGTCCCCAGACACACGCATATCTCCTCCTCAAATAAAGCGCAATTTTTGCGATTACTAAACAAGGTTAGAAGCGTCTGGTGCATTCAGTAGATCCAAGATGTCCTCACTAAAGAGAGGTGGAAATTACGACTACTAAATTTGCTCTAGGTTTTTGGCATTCGCAATCTCCATCCAATCATTTGAAAGGACCATCAAATCCTGGACCAAGAGGGTTGCTCTAAGAAAATCCTATGCATCTAAGAAAATTTTAACATTGCCTCTCAAAGTGCTATTAGCTTGAACCGGTTGAATCACTTGATTCGGGATCCGCTGATACGTTTAATTTTAGTCCAAATGGAATATGCTTGAAATCGTTCTGAAACCGCTTTAAAACTGATTGCTGTATTATCGGATAGCCATTTGCCAGCTCCAGGCAAATACTTGGTCTGCTGCAATGTTGACTTTGCGGCCTTATCATCGATGGCATTTTGAGGTGGAAACGTTTATAGGGTGATAAATTTGGAGTTATTATATAGCATCTGCTTTTTGGTAGATACTTTCTCCACCAGCAAAGGGCTCATGAAATTCGTACTCCACGTAGCACCGAAGAGGCTTGGACAGTACCACACCACAGTCCCTAAAGGGGACGTAAATATGTGTCCATCGATGATGTTGGGACAGAGAGACTTCGTTCCCTTAATAGAAAATCAGCTTTTACCAATTTTTCCTTATCCTAAGGGCAGTTTTAAGGCTAGTTGGCACCTTCCACGCATATCTGCTAATGTACATGTCCACACCATCTAGATTTAAAAGATGAAAAGGATGTTAATTAGGAGTAAACGAACCCCAACGGGTCTTCAAGCATGTGAGAATTTTATTCCCAAGGAAAGATCCTGTGGCATTGAATCCTTTCCAGAGAGCTAAAAAGATAGCTGAACTAGTAGTCTTACCCATACCTATATTGATAGCACTGCAACTTCTTCAGTGCTTTGCCCTTCCACCCTCGGTTCCGCCTCCCTGAGTGGAGGGGACTATTTGGAAGAAGACAGATTGTATAGTGACAATGCCTCAGGCACCTCCAAACTGTTTACTGCACTATCCATGAGAGGGTCTGCCTACCCCATGGCGAGTTGATAATTACTTGGAGAAATAGCATCAGATGAATGCAGAGGGTTGGAATAGGGCAACATCTTCCTCCTTCTTCCTCTCCGCAAGGTTAACGCACAAATGTCCTCATGGTAGCATAGGACTGGTCATGCGTTGTCTTCTAGGAACAAAAAGAAGACTGATTAGTTGATTAGCTAGACCTGCACACCTCTGAGACGCGAGGCCTGCATTGATAATCGTGTTGGAAATCTCCCTCGACTGGTATGACATTAAATGGGAAGGATGGCATGATGTGGGTCCTCCATTTCCACTGGTGGAAGCAACTCCTCATCCTCCTCCGCGCCCCCTATTGAGGCATCAAAGGGGATTTTTGACCGAGAAAAGCTGGTTTTGAGGTGATTCTAGAATACAGAGGGACGGAAGAGAGCCGTCGGTCACGTGGATGCACGCTTTTTCTCCTCTGGAAGAAAGAAGTGAGTGCATACCTTACTATGTTGGCCTGTCGATTGCCGCAGACTGCAATGACATCCTACAGGCAAGATCTCCCGGCCCTTTTGTTCGTTAAGAAAACACTGTTTTGTGCAAAGGTTTTATCTACGAGCCTCAAGAGTGTCTCAACACATTACGGAAGATGTGAAGGTCAAGAACGCCCCTCAGGAGCTGGTGGAAGAGATCCATATGGACGGAACAGTAGAAGTTGTGGAAGATTGCTGGCACTGTTGAAACCATCAGGAATGGGAAGTATGCTAAAAATGTCTTATAGCAGAATGAGGATAGGTCTACTAATTACATCAGGCCTCGTATCTCACCCTCGACTCATATCTCATCCTGTCGACATATCTTGGACGTAATTGTTTCGTCCTCAGCATCAGTAAACAATTGCCTCTGTAATTCACTACACATGTACACACAAAAAGTAGGCATTGTAGCCTTATGAGAATAAAGCATTCCGATTGTATTATTGGTAGTCCCAGAGACGATTTTCAATAGGGGATTGCAATAATTTCTCCTCCATAAATCCATCCTAAGGAGACAGAAATGTTAATAAAATGTTGTTGG